TCAAAGACTATAGATGGATATTCTCAATCCAATCAGCCCTGCAAAGTGACAAACATTCCTTTCACTGTTTGTCTCGTGATGGACGAACGGCGGGGTGGTCCCTCGATCTTTGACGTGGTTCACCATGCCAGAGATACTGGACCAATGTTTGTCAAGTAAGATGATATGACCGGTCACCTTTTTCTCAAAGGTTGACCGGTCATTTCTTGAGCTCCACCCGTCTCTTTGGTCTTCTTGAATTCTTCACAACATTAGGTGATATTTTGGCTATCGCCCAAAATGTGACCGGTCACTTTTTTAGTGGAAGTGACCGGTCAACTTTTGACCCGTCCCAATCGAAGAGTTAACCTCATTTGGTGATTGATAAAAGTGACCGGTCATATTTTGACCTGTCCCTTTCCGTTGTCCGGGTCGGGTATAGGGATATACCCATCATAAATAAAAAAGGTTGGATACAAAAAACTAAATTTAATATTATGACAGTTCGAAAAAATCGATAAGGTAAAGAATCGTAAAGAAACCCTCGAAGGAGTTTATAAATTGCTCACCTAAAAAAATCTATTTAAGATTTAAAAAAGATACAAATTTATTCCTCGGAACTAGCACCTCCCTCTGTGGACGCATCCATGTAATTTTGTGTATTAATGTTGTTGTATGCCTCTTGTGCTCGATGCCTGGTTGCAAACAAGTGTCTTAAGTGATTCAGCACTCAGACAACTTTGGTAGTCGTTTGGAATGTTGCCGCTAGAACTGAACTCTTGTTTCACACCTATGGTTGAAACCAGCATAGAAAACACTTGTCTCGCTAGCATTCCGAGTGACGGAAACACGTGTTCATTCTGCTTCCACCATTTAAGAACGTCGAACTATATATCGTTGCCTTCATTGTAATTGCATAGAACGCCTAGATACATCGCAAGTTTGATGTCCGAACGTACACTTGTACCACCTGTGCTCATTGACAAAAAACGCTTACCTTTTTTCGCCAAGAGGCCACTAATTATACTTTTAAAACCCTTTTTTGTCTTCAGGGCATGAGGAGCTATTGTTTCTTCTAGTGGAGTATCGTATAAAACTTAGAACTCTTTAAATAAAGTCTCAAAAAGACCAATAGCATTATCTCTTTCTTTTATCTATTTTATTAGTTGATTATAAAAATAACTATTTTCATCTAAAAAACAACTATAATAACATTCAATGAGAATTTTAAAATTCTCAATCTTAAACTGTGAATCACAAATAATACCAATTTTATAAACATCGGGAATAGTAATAAGCATACCACTTATCTTTCATAGGATACACATAAGGGTGCAAATGTGGATGAGATAAACTTTCACAAAAACATGTAGCAATTGTAATACACTGAGAAAAAATCTATTTGTCGTAGGTTTATAAATATGAGAGAAAGTAAGAGTTGGATTATTAAAAACCTCTAACACGTTATTCAAATTTTCAAGAATAATTAATTCATTCTAATCGATAATATGATTAAGTTCATGCCTGAGAAATGAAGTAAGTTCTTCTTTATACCGCGGGATCTGGTCATTCAACTTATATATACTATTCCATCTAATCGTAATGTCCTTAACAAATGTTATTGGTTTTTTATTTTTAGATTTACCGTAAGACTTCCACGCATGAGAATTATTACGACTAGCCCAAATTTGTTTTAAACCAGCTATAATGTTGATCAAGATTTACCTCATAGCTTGTAATCCCTGTTGAACATACAAATTTAAAACATGAGAGGCACACCTTTGGTTTAGAAATCTACCCATGGCGCTGCTAGGGCGACAAAGTTCTTTTAAGTCTAGGAATGGCAGCAGTATTATTAGTTGCATTATCAAAACCAAATGCAAACACTTTATCAAGTAAATTGAATTCTTTCAAAATACGCTCAAGCAAAAGAACAATATTATCACACGTGTGAGACTCATTCAAATCACGAAATGTAAGAACACGTTTATGCATTATCTAATCACTATCTATCCAATGACAAATATAACCCATCTAAGACATATTATTATAACTTTCACTCCAAATATCAGGATAAATTGTAGCGCAGAGATTTAAAAGTAACAAAAAAAATTAGCTAAATTATTATTTTTCACTTATATTGTCAAATATTATCTCTTTTGATTGGTTTTCTTGAAAAACCTCTTGCTTGAGGGTGTAGTGTGTTTTGACAATAATCAATAAATCAAATCTTTTCAGAAAACATAAATGGTAAGTTTTCCTCGCAAATCATTTTGGCCATTTTTTGTTTATTTTGCTCACTGCTATAAGCAAAAAAATCATCCTTACCTTTGTTAGCAAACCGAGAAATTTGGGTTTGTACTTGTCCCTTCATCGCCATCATTTTCGCGTACTCCACGGGGTATCTCCGTTTTTATGATTTCCCCACAATATCTACAAATTCCTTTAACATTGTTGTTTTATGTTTTTTTAAATGATATACAAATAAATTGGACTTAAGTTTTTTACTTTTTCCCGGGCCTTCAGAGGTCCCGGGCTCACCTATCTCGTCGTCCGCCGTGGTAGGATCGTTGCTCTCGGGTGTGAGTTCCTCCGCCTCTTCAACGTCCTTGAAAATATCCTAGAGAGCTTGAAGATTGGCATCATCCCCCCCCCCCCCCATGTCGCCTGTGAATTGAGCAAATTCTTGGTCGCTCATAGTGTTGCCTATAAATAGCTTGGGGATTATAGGAAATGATCAGATAGAGTGTCTCGCTTGAGAGACACATAAGCTTGAAACTTCGGACGTGGCATGGGATTTGCCTTTGCCTCAAATGAGGGATATTTACAAGGAAATCACTCTTCAAATGCAGTTTTGGGCTTTGGCACACAAGGGAAAACTTTGGTTGTTAGGAGAAGATGATCTACAACTACTTGGGATTTCAGTTTTTTGGCATATTAGAACTATGGACTTGTAATGTATTTTCTTTCATTTCTGTACTTTGGTTGCTTCTCTTGATGCGTGGCTTGGTGCCTATATTTAATTTATATATTAAGTAAGGGTTTCGTGATACATACATACATACATACATACATACATACATACATACATATATATATATATATAGATTTTGGTTCAGGTGAGAATGCAATCTAATGAAAGAAATAAGAATGAATCTGGTGCATTAGATTGGGAGATCTAAGGGTTAGGATTGCATCAAAATTAGGTGCACCAAGATGGTTTGAAAATGCATCATGTCGAAATGCACTATAATCCTTTGAAAATGCACTATCTCAAAATTTGAGTGCAGAATGCAATCTGAGCCGCACGATGCATCAGATCCAAAGGCCAGATTTTATTCTTATTTCTTTCACCAAGATGCATTCTCACTTGAACCAGCCCCTATATATATATATAATTTAATTGTGAAAGATGGTTAGGTACCGCTTAATATTATGTTACTTTTCCATCCAAAAAACATGTACAATTAGCTTTAAAACTTGTACCATGCAAGTTATACCCCAAAAAAGTCCATAACACCGTTAGTTATATTTAATTCCTTCACTCTCTAATTCACAATTACGAAGATGTTTACTAACCTATACGCCACAATTACAAAGTATTATTATTATCATTAGGGAAAATTCTTTAAAATAGTCCTAATTTTACCTTATCTTTCAAAAATAATTCCACATTTAACTGTGATGCAAAATAATTCTAGTTGTCCTAAAATTTGTGAGTTTTGGGTTGGCATTAAGTTGCTAACAACGAGTTAACGGAAATGTCATTTTTTGCGCAACAAAATGAAATTGAGATTATTTTTGATGAATTTTTATTTTTAAATTTTTCTTATTGAAATTTTCATTTAAACTTTAAAAAAGACTTTCTACCTCCATATCTTTTTATTTTATAAAATATTAGCCTTACCTTAGGAAAAAATAATAAAATTGATATACAAAATAACGAAAATGAGAAAAATACTAAGACCATACAAAATTAATGAAAAAAATAACGTAATCAATAAAATATAAGGTAATCAATGAAATTAAATTGAAACTTGTAATAAATAAAATAAAAATATAAGGGGTGGAGGGTTCCAACATTTTATGCACTATACATAGTATTAATGTACTACTATTTATTTTTTTAGAAAATAATGGGTAAAGTTGAGATTATTCCTATGTTTTCTAACAATTAGAAGAAGTGGTATATTAATACCATGTATAGTGCGTAAAATGTGAAAACCCATCACTCCATATTTTTTTATTTTATTTCTTACCAGATCCAGGTTAATTTCTATTGATTATCTTATTTATTTCATTAATTTTGTATGATTTTATATATTTTATCATTTTCGTTATTTTTATATCTATTTTTTATTGTTATCCAAATTTTGACTAATGTTTAAAAAAGAAATCATGAAATTAGAAAGTTATTTTACAAATTTAAATGAAAATTCAAAAAAAAAACAAGCGGACACGATGATTATTTTTATAATTCAGAATTAACTCTTAATATGCCACAATTACAGAGTATAATAATTATAATAAATGCTAATAAATTTGAATTAACTCCCATATACAATCTAATGAGATCCTCCACATACACCAAGCACCTTTTCGGATGTAATGAATAGTGAATACTATTAGCGGACACGATGGTGGTTGGCTTTGTCTCTTACTACTTTCAGTTACGTATCGACTGTTGACCTTTTTAGTTTAATTAATAGTATGGAGATATTAAAATGATATAAAACTATGATAAGGTTATACTTGTACCTAATTCAAATTTAAGTGTAGTCTTAATCTCTTCAAAAATACTGTCATTAGTAGCAATTTAAAAATTTATAAGATCATCTAAAGAATTTCGCAAAATTCATTATATAACTTTTGTCTCATAACTTTATGTGATTTGGATGTGGTACTTATTTACCTTCCTTCAATTCTAGCTTGGGGATTACAGTGCTTTATTATGGGTATTAGTGGCGACCTTTAACAATGTCGTGTTATTCATTTTTTGGTATTTCTAAGCCTCATATTGCTTCTTTAAAAAAATAACATTATTCAACCATTTTACCCAACACTATGATATGTTTAGTTTTTCCAACATGTCCGATTTCTCATTAATAAATATTTCTCTTTATATATATATTTATATATATATATATATATATATATATATATATATATATATATATATATATATATATATATATATATATATATATAGTTTGGTTCTGGTGAGAAAGAGATCTAATAAAAGAAATGAGAATAGCTTACAACCGTTAGATTTGGATCTTTCCCTAGTCTCTTTTCGTTCCAGTGCGTGGGTATTTTAGGACTTTTACATTTTAATCTCTCTTTCCTTATACATATGATCTTTTCCCCTCAAAACCTGCATCTGATCTCCGTAACTTTTGATTTCTGTTTTGCGAGTTGCTAGTATGGAACCTCTGTGGTCATCGTGAATATATCTTGCCTTTGTCCAAACTAGTAAATCTCTGATGGAAAGTGCAGATATGTGCAAGTATGTTCATGGGGGAGGGAGTTCGATTCATGAAAACTTGTGTTTTCAATTAGTGTGAGCTATGCTTCAATTGCATTAGTTGTCTTTTGTTGTCCATTCAAAGTTTCTTTTATTATAAATTTGTGTTCTTGTGATAGAGATAGAGGAATCTATGAAAAAATGAATTGATGCCTATTAGCTCAAATGGTAGAGCGGTATGTAGTACGGATGTATGTTCGAATCCTACATAGGCAAATGTATTTTCAAATTTATTTTACACTTTCTCAAAAGTCGCTGCTTATATAGATTTCAAATTTGGGGCTTATTTGCTTCTATTATGAATATATGTATTTTTGGCTTTTGCTTTGTTTTGATTGTGCTTGATAGCTATTTGTAAATGTATAGTTGGAGTTTGCAAGTGTAGGAATGGGCAGCAGGGTCTTCAGTTTTTCAATATGTTGTCATAAGAGCTTAACCAACAAGCTGATGACTTGTTTATGTTACTCTGCAATGCAGACTAANTTTTTATAATATTTAAAGTACAAGTCCCAGTACATATATCATTCATCATAATGCATGCATAATTTACAATACGTACTGCAGCTATGTATGAGAACAATGCATACAATTTAAAAACCATCACATGAGGAGCAAAAGTGTTCATAAAATTGAATAGTTTTTAGAAGAAAGGAAAAAATTATAAATCTCATATTTTTTGTTTTCAAAAACGTTGATGAAAAAACTAAATCCCTTGCACAAAGAGATATAAATTAAAATAAAGCAAAAAAGAAACAAAATATTATAAAGAGTTCAATAGCAAAAATCATTTATTATATATTGATTTTTATTGAAAAAACTGGTTCATAAATTAAAAAAAGGAATAAAATAAGAAACCATTAACATGATAACAACTCATGTGCATGATGATGAAAGTCATGTGTACTTACTGTACTACAACAGTTACCCCCAAAGTCTAGCATATACATGTCAACTGTACGATGCATTTATGACAACCCCCGATGCATCAATGACCTGCTACGGGTTGTGTTGCACTATTTGTAAAAAGTAAATAGAATAGGTGGATCACATATGGTAAGCGCGAGAAAAGGGTTATCTAAATTATTTCCCTGCATATCGTGTTTCTTTATTTACAGGGATATGACTTTTATGCCCCTCATAACTAATTTTTCCTAATTTGTAGCATTGCCATTATTACTTTACTTATTAAATTAGTTAATTCATTTATTCCAATTGATGGATCGTGTCCATCAGATGCATCAAATCAAACGGTCCATATCTATTCTTATTTCTTTCACCAAGCATCTTTCTCACAGGAACCAGCCCATATATATATATATATATATATATATATATATATATATATATATATATATATATATATATATATATATATATATATATATATATATATATATGTATGTATGTATGTATGTATGTATGTATGTATGTATGTATGTATGTATGTATGTATGTATGTATGTATGTATATATATATACTCCTCCGTTACCTCTGCGGCACCGCCACCCATAACATCTATTCATTGGTCAGCTGAAACAGAGTAAAACATACTCCCTCCGTCCCACAAAACGTTTTTATTTTTGAATTTTAAAGGATTTAAGAGAAGTCTATTTTGGTGTTGAGTTTCCAAAAATATCCTTGGATGTGATAGGTAAAAGTAGGATGTGGTTGTAGAAATGTTAATTTCCTTGAAAAATTGTGTCGGAGTACATGTCTTTTTATATACAAGTATTCCTAATCCTATACAAGGTAGGAGAATGTAATAGGAAACAATATATACAATAAATATAGAATATATATTTAACATGCTCCCGGCTACGCCGGATGTGGAGGAGGTCTGATGCCCAGACTTGACTTGAACTCGAGGAAGAGGAGGGATGGCAGTCCTTTGGTGAAGATGTCAGCATACTGAGAAGAAGAGGGGACATGAAGGACTCTGATATGTCCGAGTGCAACTTTGTTACATACAAAGTGTATGTCCACCTCAACGTGCTTGGTGTGCTACTGCTGTACAGGATTCAATGATAAATAGACGGCACTGATGTTATCGCAGAAGACGAGAGTGGCTCGTCGTAGTGGTTGCTATAGCTCAAGGAGAAGATTTCGGACCCAAGATGTCTCAGCAACGGCATTGGCCATAGCCCGATACTCAGCCTCTGCACTGGAGCGCGAAGTGGTAGCCTGGCTCTTCGAAGACCATGAGACCAGGTTATCGCCAAGAAAGACACAGTACCCGGAAGTAGAACGTCTGGTGTTGGGGCATCCGGCCCAGTCTGCATCATAGTAGGCCTTCAGATAATCTGTCGTGGAGCGTGTCAAATAGATGTTATGGGTGGCGGTGCCATAGAGGTAACGGAGGACTCGCTTCATGGGCCGTGAGATGGACGTCACAGGGTGTATGAAGATGAAGGCAAAGCTGCTGAACGGTGTATGTGATGTCAGGTTGGGTGAAAGTAAGATACTGCAAAGCACCAACGATGGACTTGTACAGAGAAGGATCGGAGAGTGCCATGCCAGATGAGGAGGAGAGCTTTGCTTTTGTGTCCACTGTAGTAGAGATGGGGCGACAGGAGACCATCCTGTCCCGCTCAAGTATGTCATGGGTAAACTGTGTCTGATGAAGGAAGAGACCATTAGATGTGCGATGAACATTGATGCTAAGGAAGAAATGCAAGTCACCCATGTCTGTCATGGCGAACTCGGCCTTGAGTTTCTGAATGAGGCTCTCAAAAAGTGAAGATGAAGAGACAGTGAGAACTATGTCATCAACATATAGAAAGAGGTATGTGGTGCCTGTTAATCCATTCGGATAATGCTTGCGATTGCAGCCTATTACGATTATGAAATTTGGCAGATGGGCGTCAAGACGGCTTTCCTTAACGGGAACCTCAAACAAGATGTCTTCATGACACAGCCTGACGGTTTTTAAATTGCTGGTAAGTCTGCCAAAGTTTGTAAGCTGCAGCTTCAATCTATGGATTGAAACAAGCATCTCGGAGTTGGTACATACGTTTTGACGAAACTATTTCCAGTTTTGGTTTCGAGAAGAACTTTGACGAATCTTGTGTATACAAGAAGGTCAGTGGGAGTGTAATAGTATTTCTAACTTTATATTTCGATGACATATTGTTAATGGGTAACGATATTCCTACTCTCACTTCTGTAAAGACGTGGTTGAGCGAGAACTTCTCCATGAATGACTTAGGGGATGCTAGTTATGTCCTTGACATAAGAATCTACCGAGATAGATCAAGAAAGTGAATAGGTCTGAATCAAAGTACATATATAGATAAAATCCCTGATCATTTTAGCATGTCTAACTCAAAGAAAGGATCTTTACCTATGACACCTAGCACGGTTCTTTCCAAGAGCCAGAGTTCTTCTCCTCCCGCGCAGAAGGAACTCATGATATAGGTTCCATATGCCTCTGCGATTGGATCCATCATGTACGCCATGATATGTACTAGACCTGATGTCTCATTCGCTTTAAGCGTGACCAGCAGATACCAGGGAAATTTAGGAGAAGCACACTGGACAGCGGTAAAGAACATCCTCAAGTATCTTCGCAATACTAAGGATGCATTCCTGGTATATGGTGATGAGGAAGAGCTGAAGGTGGTCGGTTACACTGATTCTAGCTTCCAAACCGACAGAGACGATTCAAAATCACAAGCAGGATATTTGTTTTGCCTGAATGGCGGAGCTTTTAGCTGGAAGAGCTTCAAGGAGGATACAACCGCCGATTCGACTACAGAGGCTGGGTACATAGATGCAGCCGAGGCAACTAAAGAAGCTTTTTGGATCAAGAAGTTCATTACTGAACTTGGAGTGGTTCCTAGTATTAATGACCCTATCTCGTTGTTTTGCGACAACACTGATGGCCAACTGTTTATTGTTATTCTATCATGTATAGGCAGATATAATATGTTTACACATCTCATGCTAATGTAAACAAACATTATATTTCAAGATTTATATTTAAAGATGTTTATCAGATAGTGTAATTCTGCTGATGAGACTAACATCTTGAAATAAATATTTATCTGAATGTCCATAGTCGAGTATTAACGAGAGTAGGATATCGTTAATGTATGTGAGACTAGTGTGTGTTGGATGTTTGACTTAGTCTCATAGTCAATGACGGTGTGTTCGCATCCGCCCATGGGCAGATATTAACTGGAGATAGTAGGATGCCGGATTGACCCACCCTAAAGATGTTGCTTGAACCTTTAGTTTATGCTCTAAGCATCTTTAGCGCGACCACGGGTGTAACTATCCTTCGACTTGAAGTATTACGTTTTCTGCATATGTGAACCCGCATGCTTTGATACATTGTCCTAAGCCATATGAAATAAGGATGGTATACAGGCTTTGTTTTGGATATGCCGCAACGCGTATTCAAAAACATAAATTACGTACATAGGATTTGTCACTACTTTTTTAAGAGATTAATGTCTTATGGGGCGCACTGATAAGTCATGACTGAAGAAATTGCATGGCCATGTTGAGATGTTTTTATGATGTCTGTTCCTATCAGTCAGACTTGATAAATCAGTGAATGACTTAATGGATACAAGTTGGATTTTATTAACCCCTTGCATTAAGTCTAGACAATGAGACAAAAGGATACAGTTACACGGAGTCTGAGTCGTGGAAAGGTTTTGACGGTGTAAACGTCTTAGCTTATAATCTGGGGGTAATAATATGTTGCTAGATACCGGTTATTTCTTATAATATTGGTGCAGAGCCAATACTGTGGCCAGCTTTATAAGTGCATATACAAGTCACACACTTTGGACAACTTAAGGAGTAAGATTAAACAATGAGATAATAAGTAATTTGTATATTTGTAAAATAGTAAAATAAAATATTTTGGAATATAATATTGTATATATAAATATTCGGTTATATATATATATATATATATTATATATGTGCCGATTAATATATATATATATATATGTGTGTGTGTGTGTGTGTGTATATATATATATGTATATGTGTGTATATATATATATATATATATATATATTGAATATTTTATTTTGGTTTGTCATTTTAATTATAAAAATAATTATTTTGGCATAAAGTATTTGAAGTATATTTTATACTTGTTTAAAATGATATTGGTATTTTTATTTGATTTAAAATTAATTTTATATTAATTTTTGGTATCAAATAAAATACACTTTGAACACTTAAGTGGTGAAGAATTTTATAAATCCTTCTCATATCATTCATTCGGCCATAAGGATTTAAAGGATCAAAATTAGTCTTTGATTAATAGTTCAATTTTTAACCTTTAGCTTAATGACAAAGTTTTTTTTATATCCCAGCGGGCAAACCACCAAACTCGGTGGGGTAAGGTCTAGGCAACCCTTACCGAATATTATTAAGATAGCTTGAGGATACAAAGTGAGGGGAGGACCGAACCAAGACCTAATGCCAGCCCCTCATACGGAAGACAAACCTTCCGGGGAAAACAATCCTCAAAATAAAGGGTAAGGGAACCTAGAACAAGGCTTGACCAAGGCCACAAGAAGGTCCAAGTAAGCAAAGAACCACAATACTACGGCATGACCAATGCCACATACGGTCCTAAGTCCTAACAACAAAACAACTAGTCTAAGGCACAATCAAAACGGCCAAAGAGCAAGTCACAAACATCCTCAACAACCAGGGTACTTCAAAAGGGCAGGACCACACTCACAAAGGAGCAAGAAAGCCAAGCCAACAGACTCAACTACACAAGACCATACCCACCAAAACTAAAAAAGGATAGAATGAGCACACCCATAATTTTCCATAGTAGTGGTGAAAATAATGGTTTTTTAGAGGAGCTGAAAAGGTTTCTTCATAGAATAATGCTCCATACAAAGCCACCAAATTGAACCACCAACATAACCATAATTCACAAGAGCATACCACCATAAAATAGACAGGAAATAATCAGGAATGAATGCATTCTCGAGATAACCCCAATTGATTCCAACAGAAAAAGTTGTGGGAACAATGGAATAAAGCACAGCCCACTAAGTAGGCCAAATCAAGCAACAGAGAATACTAATTGAGGGGGGCAGCTTTACCAGGCTTAGCACTAGTCGAGACATAACTGGGAAATTGTCTAAGATCAAATTGGTGTAACTTTTGTGCTTCAAGGGGCAGGTCAAAAACAGAGAAAAACTGAGAGGGGGTGTAACTGATTACAGCTCCACGTCACCAAGAAATGAGGCAGTCTGTTTACTAGCTTCTCACAAACCACAAAGGAGCTCTTGACATAAGAGAGAAGAAAATGAAACTTACTCAAATAAGTATCCTGCTCAGGGTTAATCCCAAGTTGAAGGGAGGGTAATTCCCCTTCATCAGTCTCAATAATAATGCTCCTGAAGCCATATGCCAGACCCCAGCTTAAAACTTGGACTCCAACCTCCAAATAAGCCATGTATTTTGGTTTAGGGCTGGAAGAGGAATAGCCAAAAAGAAAATCCCCTTTTCTATTTCTGAGAACAGTAGGTGCAGCAGTTTGATGAAGAAATTGTCCTCCAGAAAGATTGAGCTTAATAGATTCTCCCTCAGGATATTGCCAACAAACCTTTTTTATCATAAAGATTTAGGTAGAGTGCCTGCAAGATTGAACACTGTTTCCCAGTAAGGAAGAACTTCATTTAAGGAAGGCCACTTTCTGGAAGCTGCTTCAGCAGCCTCTTTCCCCACAAGGTGGATGATTCTAGGCACAGAGTAACCACAGCCCCCATATTTAATAGAAGAATAGGCTCTCCAAATCCCCCAAAGAATGAAGATAGGGACACACTGTTGAAGGAATTCCTTAACAGCAGGTTTCTTAGAATGAAGCTTGTTCTTCCACCATAAATTTAGTTATTGCCTCATGGTGTGAGAATTTCCATGGATACCAAGCACATACTCATAGTGCTTCCAAACCTGATGAGCAAGTTCCCCCTTACAAAAAACATGCTCCAAACTTTCCACATGGGGATGAGTGCAACAATAGCATTTGGAGACAGTAGGGATTCCTATATGCATGAGAAAATCATCCATGGGAAGTTTTTGAAAAAGGACCCTTCAGCACAGGAAAGATATTTTAAAAGGAACACATGGATGCCAACAATTAATAACAACATTTTCAACTAAGTTACGGGGCTTTAAAAAATGCTTAACTGCTTGCATGGAAAATTGACCATTGCTCTTAGGTTTCCAAATGGGCTGGTCAGGCACATTGGAACCAAGCATGTCCAGATTCACATTAAGATGGAAGAAAAAACTAGGATCCAGAATGCCAACAAGCTTGGAAAAGTCAAACTGTCTGTTCAAATATAAGTTTTTAAAGGTTCTAAAAGATATCTCCTATGGGGTTGATTAGAAACAGCACCAAGCGCCCCAATACCAGTCCAATTGTCCCACTAAAAGCTAACTGAGCCATCATAGATTCTCTGTAACACCCTAATCCGTCCAGGTCTGCAGCCCCATTCGGACTAAAGTATTTAACTTGGTAATAGTAAAATTTAAAACTTTTCAAACACACTTGATTAATCCCAATAATATTTTTCATAACATATACAGTACGGAGTATTTAACAATATTGCGGAAGCGAATTTAATATTGACATATCATAAATTATTTCAAAACTTGTCACATCCATCCTGACAATCTCGCCCCATCTGCCGCCAGGATCACATTAATCTTTCTGTTTACCTGCGTGTAGCAAATAAAACATACTACACGCTCAGCGGTGAAGCTGAGTAAGCATATCTAAAACGTCGAACATCCACATAAATTGAATCTCAATTCATAATCAACCATTTGATATCATGCACACAATATATGGTTCAAACATTCAAAATATTTTCAATATTTTATTCCAAGTCATTTGATATTCAATATATATCAATAATGCTCTTAAATTATTCTTAATCTAAGGCCACATCATTTTATATTCAGCTCTTAGCTATTCCTAGTCTAAGGCAGTAATTCTAACCAGGCCCTTAAACTATAAATAGTTTAATGCAGAACACAAGAATCGATAATCCACCCTATGAGTCATGTGGATTACGTACCAACCGAACAATGATTTGTCGGGTGGGTGATATCCGGTCTGGATCCCGTACGTACGTTTTAACCCGAAATATGAATTGGTCAAGTAGGTATATCTTAGAGTTCTTCTAGATATCCTTAATAATCATCATCAATATACAAGTGGGTATATCTTAGAGTT